GTCAACGCGGTTTGTTGGAAAACTGAGACTGACTCCTTTTATTAATATTGCTTCTGAATCATTTTGTTGTTTTATCTTTCTCATATATGTTTTCCTTTTCTGAGTTACTTCTCCTAGTTGCATTAACATGCTGTTTTGTTTGTATTCTTTAAAGGTAAAGTTACTGTAGAAAAGAGGGATACCAACGGTCACCATAACACTTCTTGAGGATGGAAGAAAGCCGGAACTTTTCGAATGAGACTTGTAGAATTGTTTCTGAAAAAGAAGAAAGAGCCTGGTTTGCAGCTTTCGTCATCGAGTTTATTGTCATCTTTTTACTGAATGCTTTCACTCTTGCCATCTACACAAGAAACCGTCACTTACGCAAGCCCAATACGTACCTGATAATAAATCTGACTGTGGCTGATTTACTGGTGGGAACAGTGTCCGGATCTTCGACGACATTCAAACTACATAACCTGGAGACGTATCTGGGTCTGGAACAAGATTTTAGCTGGCAATCATTCGTGCAATTCACATTACAGGGGCTTTTTTTAGTTGCTTCTTTAGCTAATATTTTATTAATTTCTTTAGAGAGGTTACACGCAACACTTTTCCCCTTTAGGCATTGTCTTGTTGGAAAAAGGGTTTACCTAATCATTATTTTGTGTAGTTGGTTGTTCTCCTTGATTTTATCATCCGTGCTTGCTCTTCTTTATTTGCACGCTTCGCCGGCTTCTCTCTATGTAGGGGCATCTTACTCTGTTGTGATCATTCTCATTCTCACAGTTTCATATGCTATAATCATCTCAACTGTAAAAAACAATCCTCTCTCCCCTAATGCTGGACCAGTTCTTTCAACAGAGAGGAAACTAACGGTGACTTTATTTATAGTTACTGTGGCTTCTTTTCTGACCATTCTTCCTGGGCTCATTTTGATCATTGTGCCCCTCCATATATGGAGTAAGGTATGCCCTGCAGTACTTTTCCACATCACCAGATTTTTGTCTGCGCTTTATTTTTTTAATTCTATAGTCAATCCCCTCATATATGCAGTAAGAATGCAAGAGTTTAGGAAGGCAGCAAGGAAACTTTTACTAATAAGAATTAATTAACGAGCGTCCAACCCACTGAAGTTCTTACATCACGTGTACCGCACTATACCTATTGAAGAAAGAAGGTAGGAAATAGGAGATCTCCTTAGAAAAGCTCTAAAAAGCTTATTGAGGCCTTCTTGCCACTAGATATCATTTGTAATCTTAATCAATGTAAAACAGATTTAAGTGGCGAAAAAAAGAAAATAAAAGAAAATAATAATGATCAAATAAATAATAAGCATATATACTGCCGTGATAAACATTGTTGGAAAACAAAATGTAACGTTTAACTTGACGTTTCCTTCAACATACAACTTCAGGAGGAATTTTTTGGCTGCAGCTTTTGTATTTCTGTACGCATGTTCTCCTTAAGGCTTTCTTGCCATTCTAATCGTAACAGACTCTTTGATGTAATTATATCAGATACCAATAATCATCATTTCAATGTGATAGTTTACCCTTTTCCAGCCGATGACCTCAATCAGCATTTAAGACGGAATATATAGAAGACGATGGCGAATGAATGCAAAGAGGGTCTTGTGTACTAAATTCCATTCCTCACTCCTGAACATTTACTTCCGTCTCAGGGGGGGTTCAATCCTTGCTTCTACTTATTTACTTCCGCGACTGGTGGAATAGCTGTTCAAACTGCACCAAAGTATGGCACAAAACCTATCTGGTAAGCGTAGCTTCGTTCCGTCAGAGAAATCGCCACAATCGTTCATGAAGCGTTGATTTCAGAGACGTTTTGGTTGGTACGGTATTGGTCAAATAATTTTCAAATTGTCAAACTGCTCGCTTTCTAGTCTACACACCTCTTAATATAAGATGGACGGTGCATAATTTATTATTTACCACAAATCTATGCTTTTCATTCTTATATTTTACTAGTTACAGCTATCGCTAAGTGTCAACGAGAAAATATTTCACCTATTCGCGCGCACTGTTCGATTTGTTTAGAAATGTCATGAATTACCGTAATTTACAAAGAAAGCCGTTGAACTCAATTCGATTGCATAAGCAAAAATTGCCTTCAAAATAGTGAAGTAAATTGTTCTACTGCATAAAGAATTTGAAATTCCGACTTTACATAGCATATTATTCGAGATATTGAAGATGGTGTTTTGTCCGAAGTTGCGCACAGGTCATTTTGCGTAAAATTTAGTGGTCTTATAATCGAACTTATAATCCTCGAAAATTATATTGAAGTCCTCGAATATTCAAAGCACAAATTTATATTTGGTCTCTTTTTAAAGCTTGGAAAGTCTACTTTTCAGGAAAAAAAAAAAGATTTATGGTGCGCCGATGAAGCCTTCCGAATTATTTTGCTTCAAATACAAAATACATTTTGCGGCAATATTATTTTTTTCCTAGCGGCAGGCAATAAAAAAATTCCAGCGGGTAAATGTGACAGCTATACGCGTAAGATGGACATCATGCAAATGAATCCACCTGACGATTGGTTGACGACGGGATTTGCAAGGGACTCACAAACACTCACACGGATCGTGGATTCTCTGCTCTGTATTACGTGTTCGCTCGGAAACAATGCATTCTCTGTTCTGCATTACTTCTAAAAAGTTACCTTACACCACCTTATGTTACATCGATTCGAAATTCATTCTGCCTTGGGACTTTCGCGCAAGGCTTTATCAGTTAGGCTGCCGCCTCGCAGTCTTCGCGAGGCTGCTCGTTGGCAATTATTTCTTTCGAGTTATTATTTTTTTTTATAAAATTGTGATAGGCTCTATGCCCGCGTCACTTAATTTAACTATGGTTCTATACCCTCCTATCTACAAGGAGATACACAGCGGAGAAGCCGGGATATATTTCTTTATTAATTATAGCCA